ACAACTGTGAAGTAAGGAAAGCCCTATCTAAGCAAGAGATGGCTAGTGCTTCATCCAGCCAAAGAGGTCGAAGTGGTTCTGGAAACTTTGGTGGTGGTCATGGAGGTGGTTTTGGTGGGAATGACAACTTTGGTCGTGGAGGGAACTTCAGTGGTCGAGGTGGCTTTGGTGGCAGTCGAGGTGGTGGTGGATATGGGCAGTGGGGATGGCTATAACGGATTTGGTAATGATGGAAGCAACTTTGGAGGTGGCGGAAGCTATAATGATTTTGGCAATTACAACAATCAATCCTCAAATTTTGGACCCATGAAAGGAGAAAATTTTGGAGGCAGAAGCTCTGGCCCCTATGGTGGTGGAGGCCAATACTTTGCCAAACCACGAAACCAAGGTGGCTATGGTGGTTGCAGCAGCAGCAGTAGCTATGGCAGTGGCAGAAGGTTTTAATTACTGCCAGGAAACAAAGCTTAGCAGGAGAGGAGAGCCAGAGAAGTGACAGGGAAGCTACAGGTTACAACAGATTTGTGAACTCAGCCAAGCACAGTGGTGGCAGGGCCTATCTGCTACAAAGAAGTCATGTTTTAGACAATATTCATGTGTATGGGCAAAAAACTCAAGGACTGTATTTGTGACTAATTGTATAACAGGTTATTTTAGTTTCTGTTCTGTGGAAAGTGTAAAGCATTCCAACAAAGGGTTTTAATGTAGATTTTTTTTTTTTGCACCCATGCTGTTGATTGCTAAATGTAATATTGTCTGATCATGATGCTGAATAAATGTGTCTTTAAAAAAAAAAAAAAAAGAATTGAGGTCCATTGAGATTAATAATTTACCAAAGGTCATACATAGAAGTAGGCAGTTTTGCTCTAGGGCCCACACTTTCAATCAGTATGTTATGCTGTCGTAGTAGGAGCTCAAAAAATAAACCTCCATGACACATGGTGCTGACCTCTACATATCTAACTGGAAGAACACCCAGATGAAAACTAAAATGAGGATTTTTGGAAAAGCCTTACATAGATGTACTAAAAAACACAAAGACGTGAGACTAGGAAATTTGTAATAGAACTCTGGCTACTATATGGGGAGTATACTCCTTTCTTGGCCTTCTTTGTATATAGGTATTTTGAGGGTTGAGCATTCTTAGAGCCCTGCGAAATGTTATAAAGCAGTATCTGTGAAAGGTGTGCAGTGGGTGGCAGAGCACAGATCACCATGGGGCAGTGAGCTGAGCTCTGTCTCATGGAAGGTGACAACGGAGAGACAGAAAAGTGGAAGGCATCTGCAGTGAAAGGGAGTTAACTTGCCTGGCCCAAGCACAGCTAATGTCTACCAGTTACCTTCATTGCCGTAAAAGCTCTACACTAAAAGCACTAATTCTGGGGCACCTGGGTGGCTCAGTCAGTTAAGCGTCCAACTCTTGATTTTGGCTCAGGTCATGATCTCAGGGCCTTGAAACAGAGGCCTGTGTTAGGCTCTGCGCTGGGCGTGCAGTCTGCTTGAGATTCTTCCTCCCTCTCCCTCTGCCCCTCCCCACCTCAGAAAACACAAAAACAAAGAAAGAAAACAACAACAAAAAGCACAAATTCCTTTGTCTTTTACGTCAGAAAGCCCACTTAATGGAAAATTCCTTAATGAGACCAGTGTGACTGTTATCATCTTCAGTATATAACATTGATCTGAAAGTGTCAGAAAATGCAACTGGACAAAAGAACAAAATAAGAGGTATAATGGTTGGGAAGAAGACGGGGAAATTATTATGTTGTCTTCCTGAAAGAGCAAAGTAAAACAAGTGAACACAGAAAGTAAAAAAGTTCAGTTAAGTAGGCCACTCACAAATAAAAATCAACAACTTTTCATGGGGGAAAAGATACAGTGAAGAAAAAGATCACTTTTAAAGATTTATTTTATTTGAGAGACAGAGAGTGCACATGCACACACACACACACACACACACGTGGACAGTGGGGAAGGGCGGAGGGAGAGGGAGATAGATAGATATCTCAAGCCCACTGGCACTGAGCTTCGAGCCTGAAGACTGACCCAGGGCTGGATCTTATGACCCCAAGATCACAGCCTGAGCCGAAACCAAGAGTCAGACGTTCAACCAACTGCAATACCCAGGAGCCCCAGGATCACTTTTATAATAGCAACAATGACAACAATTGAGAACAAACTTAAGCTATTTAATGAGTCAGATAAAAAAATAATAATATAAGACATAACGTAAGTCTTGGTTTCCCGATTTAGGGCCCTAAACAGCATTTCCTTTTTTTTTTTAAGATTATGTATGTATGTATGTATGTATGTATGTATGTATTTAAGAGACAGAGAGAGAGCACAGGGGGAGGAGCAGAGGGAGAGGGACAAGTGACTTCACTGAGCTCGGAGCTGGAGGCGGGCTTGATCTCAAGACCCTGAGATCCTGACCTGAACTAAAATCAAGAGTCCAATGCTTAACTGACTGAGTCACCCAGGTGCCCCGGCATTTCCTATTATAAGGAAACATGATTCCTTGGAGAAAATGGTCATTCTGGTTCTGGGGCAGGATGTGCCCAGGTATCTTGTCCCACCAGAAATCATGGAAACTACCAAAGACTAGGAGGGTCAGGTCAAAAGGACTGAGAAGGTACCAAGCTAGAAAGAGGCCCTTGCTGGCCAAAAATTGGATAATTTGAACATCAGTAAAATAACTGCCATCAATTAAATCATATCAAATATGTAAAAATCCACCATATTATCATGAAGCAACACTAACAATGAAATACTCACTGGCTACCTTTGGAGGGAGCTAGGGAACCAATTGTAATTTTGAAAATTTGTACATAAATAAAGGGAAAGAGGGGTGCCTGAATGGCTCAGTCAGTTAAGCATCCGACTCTTGATTTCAGCTCAGGTCATGATCTCAGGGTCATTAGATCAAGCCACGAGTCCAGCTCCTACCTCAGCAGGGAGTCTGCTTGAGGATTCTCTCTCTGCCCCTCACCCTGCTCTCTGTCTCTAAAAATAAATAATTAGGGGCACCTCCCTGGTGGCTCAGTCCATTAAGCGGCTGCCTTCGGCTCGGGTCATGATCCCAGGGTCCTGGGATCAAGTCCCACTATCTGGCTCCTTGCTCAGCGGGGAGTCTGTTTCTCCCCTGCCTGCCATTCCCCCTGCTTGTGCTTGCTCTCTTGTCTCTCTCTCACTCTCTGTGTCAAAAAAATAAATAAAATCTTTAAAAAAAAGGAAAGAAAGAAAGAAATGGAAAGAATCAGCACTTATCTGCCTTTTCTGTAGGAATAGTATTCAGGGTACCAAGTGTTAAGACAAGTTTCCTTCTTGGGGCGCCTGGGTGGCTCAGTCATTAAGCGTCTGCCTTCGGCTCAGGTCATGATCCCAGGGTCCTGGGATCGAGCCCCACATCGGGCTCCCCACTCAGCAAGAGGCCTGCTTCTCCCTCTCCTACTCCCCCTGCTTGTGTTCTCTCTCTCGCTGTCTCTGTCAAATAAATAAATAAAATCTTAAAAAAGTTTCCTTCTTTAGAGGTATTCCAGCTAATGAATGAAAAAGAAATGATAAGAGTATCACCATTTTGCAAGAACCCTAATGAAATTATACATGTAGACAGTAATTATCTTTTTCTGCTAACATGAAAAGACAGAGAGAAATGGACATCGTGTTCCCTTCTAGATCTGATTATCAATTTACATTAAATACAGGGGGTAGGGGCGCCTGGGTGGCTCAGTTGGTTGGGCGTCTGCCTTCAGCTCAGGTCATGATCCCAGGGTCCTAGGATCGAGCCCTGCATTGGGGGAAACAATTATTCTAAGGAATCAGTGAAACTACATGTCTGTCCTTTAAGTGTTAATGTTCCTCAGAATTGGTTCCTAAGCTTTGTCCCAGGGAGACCAGGGAGATCTTACACATTTCCAGGTGATAGACAAGTAGGCAAAGATTTATACAAGGACATTCATTTTAGAGTTATTTATATATAATAGTGAAAAATTGTAAATAACTAACATGGCCATCTAGAGTCCTGGTTAAATAGATAGTGGCATACTCATACTATGAGATCCGATGTAGTCATCAGAAATGTTGTAAGATCTGTACTTACCGAAAAGCATGCACATGTGGAAAAGGAAAAAGCAATTCACAAAACTGAATGATTAAAATTTTGTAAATGAATTTTTAGAAGAGATGCTCACAAAAAAGGTTAGATAGGGAGTGACTTAACTTGCTTTTTCTCCTGTTTGGATTTTTACACTCATAATTTAATTCCTCTTAAAATAAAAATTTCAAGCTAATCTCAATTTTAGGAAAAAAGCCACCAAAAACATAAATAGGAAATACTAGTATCTTTATTCTGGCATAAAGCAGTATTTTATACATTAACTCAATTTTACAGAAAAAGCATTTTATGTACAATTGTAAAGGAACTGCTGCACAGATAGCTCCAATGTAAAAATGGATTGTATTTTCTAAGTTCATTGAGTTTGATACATTGGAAAATATTTTCTCTGTAGAAAATAGTAAAAACCACATTTCTCATGCTAGCCTAAGACGCCCATTAAAATCAAGTAACAGCTGGATTATAGATTTATAAATATGGTGTGGATTCCAGGATCTAGGAGAAGTTCAGCTTCATTTATTGAAACAGCCATGTTTTCTTTGTGTAGAGTGAAATTCCCATTAATCTTCCCCTTACTCCTGATTTCTACCTGATCATTTTTCTATCGGCTAATCCACAACCCACATCAAGGTTTTAAATGCTCCTTCCTACAGGACGGGTACTGCACCCTTCCAATCTGCTTGATAAGGTATCCATCCCTATCCAAGCCGTGAAATAGTCTGGTTGTTATTAAAATATGGCTCAGTACTTGAGCAAAACCGGAATCTAATGAATTATAATCTACACAGCACATGAGCTGTCAGTCATCAACTTCTCCTGAATCCATGTGGCTTGATGGGAAGCCATGAGGAGCGGGAGGAAAAGTGGTAAAATTGACAAATGGATTAAGAAAGAAAAGCCAAGAGAATTTCTGAAAACAGAGAAACATCCAGGACTGAAGTCCAAACAGGGTAAGGACACGTTGCCTCAAGCGTCAAAGAGTTGAGTTGGCTATCTGAACGCCTTACTGCAAAGTCACAGAGTTAGATAAAAATACCCGATCCAGTGAGAGAAACCAGGGCTTAGAAAGATTTCAACTGTTCAAACATAATCAAATGAAAATAAGACGGGCCATGTATTTTAATTTCTCCTATCAGTTTATTCCCTGAGATTCCCAGTACAGAATTTCTAGGAATTAAGGCAAGAAAACAATGCCATTCTTAAGCTCCTGCACCGTGCAGAAGTTTGGAGGAAATATTTGAGAACTTAGAGTTACCTGGCCAGGGACTATATTAAATTCTTCAGTTCCCCCTCCTCAAAGCAACAACTTAAAATAACCATATAGAGATTGTCCTAAAAGGAAGTCTAAGCAGCTAAAACCTTTCAATGGAATAGCAGTCTTACAGAAACAGATCCTATACGGTGGCTATAGGAACTAGGCCTCTGAGAAACAACACTGGATCATTCTACCTGGAACCCCAGTTTACCCATTAGAAGTTAATACTCTAGACACATTAATGACCTGCTGTTTTTACCAGGAAAAGAATGCTTTATCATGCATCTTGCTTGCATTTACTTGCTCCTCTCTTTGCTCTCAACAGAGACAGGTTTCCTTCTCACAGGTGAAAAACATTTTCAGTGGGTTTCCTGACTCTTGTCAGAAATGCAAATCTCTGCCCCCCACTCCCTTAATTC